GCAGGAATAGCCAGAGCCTCTGTCAAGATTTGAAGAGGCTTTTAAATCAAGTATGAATTTGGAAAGGGACATGAGAATGCAAATATATCGCTCTGTGTTGTTTGATCTTTGCTGTGTCCATGGGAAGGGGGGAGAAAAATGGAATTTATACATTCCTTGTAAGGGATGGAAGGAACACCTTATTCGGCTACCAAATTCGCTTCTAACGGAAACTTGCCGCTCCCTAAATTTTTGGCTAGCTGCTGAGGTCAGAAGGGATAACAGTAGCGCTAGAGTTATAGCATTTGTTCTGGTTACTGAGGAGGGAGCTCTATCTTGTTAACATAGGTTGAAATCATCTCATGCTGTGGACACAGATGATTTTTAAGTCATTAACACTTCAGTGATGAATATCTCCTCACACATTAAAGTCCTAGGAAAATGGCATTGATAAAAATCAAGAGGATTGCTAAACTGGAAACTTTCTATTGTCATGGCACTCGCACTATGTTGGTGTATTATGCCAGACGCATGCCAACAAGCAAGGGCCCAGCAGGACAAGTCATAAGGCTCATGTTCCAGTCTCTGTGGCCTCTTTTCGGAGGGCTCTTAACGTGGGCTATAGGCCAGATCTAGTCTTCTGGTGATGGTGGAGGTGGCACCTGGGGCAGTAGGGGCTGCCAGGCTGCTCAGGAAAGCTGGTAATCTGGCTTGTTGCCAGAAAATCAGTGCTGTGGGCAGCTCCTCTCCCAAACTGCAGGAGCTCTTGGGAAGTGGTTTGCTCTGGTACTGCCAGCCCAGCACCATCCTCCTGGTGTCCTAGGTGGGAAGCAGGGTGGGTGCAGGCTTTGCTTGCAGAGAGCAAAGGCAGCATTTCTGAGAGAGGTTGAGCCAACTGCACTTATGCAGGTCGGCTCTTCCATCCATGCGTGTTATGTTATGCTCAGGGAGGGTCTGGTATATAGCACTTGCATGTGGTGAGAAGAACTTGTGGCCTGTCTAGCCAGAAGGTTGGACACTGCTGTCCCAAGGACGTAGCTTGCAAAGCCTCATTTGCCTCATTTGCAGTTGTGGTAGAGAAGGGCCAAGTTTCAAGGAGGAAAACAGTGGCTATGAGAACTTTTAAATCTCTAAAAAAAGACACAGACACTGCAATCTTTGCTATGACTCATCTGGGCTGTTATTTGAAAAAGGCAGGCTGAGCAGTCATGGACCTTCTAGCTCGAGGGGAGCAGCACTCATTTGTGAACTTGCTGAAGCCCTGAAAGCAGAATTGGTGTAGGTGAGAGGTTCCCATGCTGAGCCTCTGACCACTGATTTCCCTCTGACCACTGCCAGTTGCAGCTCAGGGAGAGCTAGCAGATCATGGCTGGCTAGTTTCTTCCCACCTGTTGTTTCCACTGCTACTAGAGCTGTTTGAGAAGTTAAAGTCCAGCAAATACTTTCTCATTGTCATCTTTCTCCTGCAAACAAATAATGAAATAGTTGCAGGAATATCGTCAGTTCGTGGATGGAAGGGCTTTCTGCTATGGTGAGTGTGGCAAGGGTGGGCTCTTCGTGGAAAGCTTCTGTCTATATTATCCAAGCGTGATGAGCTGAGATGTTTTCAGTACGTTTCAGCAGCGTTTCTCCCCTCCTTGCAACTTTATTCCAAATCTACCGAGAGTCAAAGCACTGCTATGAACTGCAGTAACTCATTCAATTAGTTTCCTTCAGTGAACAAGCCATGTTCCTGTGGGGACAAGCTGGGCCATAAAAGTGCCGACAGATGAGTTCTGGTAAACCTTGCAGCATTGCTACCTCCTCCCTGGAGATTATGGACCCATCGAGTCATAGCGGGAAGGAACGTGTCCCCTCACCTCAGCTCTTGCTGCAAACTGCTGAGGAGAGTAGGTTTGTCCTGTTTCACTGCCCAGGACCCGGAGTGGCTGTGGCTCGGGCTTGGTTGCAGGGTGGGTAACCTCTGGCAGAGGAGTGCTGCTGTCCCCAGCCACCGCTGCTGTTTGCTCAGGGAATGTGAGTCAGGACGCCGAGTTGCGATAACACATCCCAAGTGATAAAGTGCTTTTATTGTTTGCCTGCTCAGTCGGAGCCAGCTAGGTGTTCTGCCTTACAGTGCATTAAGGGTGTAGGCTGTTAATGAAATTAAAAAGGGACTTTGAATGGGCTGGGTCCAGGTGTCGGAGGGTTAAAAACCAAACAGTTCAGGTAGTCGCCCGGCTGAGAAAGTTGTATAATACCACCTTATACTGAGTAAACATCTTGGGCAGGCAGCCCTTTTAAAATTTTGACGCACAAGAGAAACGGTCGTGCAACCATAAAGCCGTTGTCTGTTTAAGGGCTTTTTATTTTTTTCAGCCAAGCTTTTGCAATGGTGTATCGCCATCCTCAAGGCAGGAAAAATGATTACTTTTGAGGGGCGGGGAAGGGGGGGAAGCAATAGTGACATGTCTCAGTAGGTTAACAGTGCCACCTCCTGGATAGCCAGGAGAGCGGGGAGACAGGGATGTCCCCAGCCTTGCCACAGGCCTTGCACTGACGTGTCCTGTGCTCATTAGGTACTCGCAGCCCAGCTCGAGTCTCCTGCAGCATCTCACCAACTGCTAAATGGTATTGGGGCTGTAAGGAGAAAAATAAGCTGTAACTTATACCTAGGCAGCGCAACAGCCAGAAGAAAGGTTTTGGTATACAGTGGCTGGCCGAGGCAGGATTTTTCCACTGCATGGAAAAACCACAGTTCTGCAATGTTTTTTATCTGAGTGGGATGAAAAGAGAAATCCTCTTTTATTGATTTGTATCCCCCCCCTACCCCCCAATGAAGTGAGGGGCTCTGAAAATAAAATGTTTTTACTCATAGCAGGGGTAAGAGGGGATTTTGTTTGGTAAGGTCAGATCACTTGCTCAAATGCTGATATTTAAATTGCATAAAACGTCAATTAAACTTTACGAAGCTATTTTGCAACGAAAAGCCTGGAGCGCTGGCCCTGGAAGGTTTGATGTTGAAGGATTTCATGGATTTTATTTCCATTAATTTGTGGAGGGAACGCCTCCGTGTAGAGTCCGTCTCAGCAGAACATCGTTTGCCAGAAGACTGTAACGGCGAACTGGGCTCGTGGCTGAGGAAAGGCCTGGGGCTTTCTCCTCAGGAGTGGGCTGGGTTTGCCCGCGTGAAGGGGTACCCGGTGCCCGTTCCCTAGGCCCCCGGTTCTGGCGCTAACGCCCAGTAGCACCGGCAGCACGGCTGTAGCTGGCCAGCCCCATCGGGGTTGCACTGACCGTGGCTCCGAACGCCTCCCGAGCGGGGCCGGGGCCGGGATGGCCGCTGTCAGCGGGAGAGCGAGAGCTCGCCTTCGGGGCAGGGGGTACCGCTGCAGGAGGAAGGCAGTGGGCTGTCCTGCGGGTAGGCTGCAAAGTATGAGCTGAGCTTCAGAGGAGATTCTGGTTCCTTTTTCAAAGCCTGGCTGGACTGGCTTCACAGCCTTACTTTTACTGCCGCGTTTGCATTTCCGTGAACGTGAGCAAGATCCAGGGCTGCCCTGCACGTGGCTGGCAGTCCCGCGGCAGTTCACGCAGCTCGTGCCCTCCCACCTCGTTTCCCCCCGCCTGGCTATGGTGCTCGTGACCCCTGCAGAGCCAGTTCAAGGAGCTAAAGCGGCAGAAAACAGGAGACAAGCCCAGAAGCGAAGAGTTTCCCGTGGGTTTACGTTCGGGAAGGGACTTGCAGCAGGGTGACCCTGGCCTGAGCGTTGGGGTGAGGGAGGGGATGGGAACACGCAGCCGAAGCAGAGGGTTCGAGCGTGGCCTTCGTGGCCTCAGCGCTTTGCTCGGGGTGCTGTGTTTGGGTGCTGTGTTCGCTCTAATGCAGCGAAGGCAGGCTGTCAGCACCGGGGTGGGCTGCCTGAAGCACGTTAGCTGCTTGAGTATACCTTCAAGAGCACTTGGAGATGCTTGTGACCTTAGGCACTATTTTCCCTTTCTAAGGAAAGACAGTTCATCTTTGCAGGGGTTCCAGAGGTTTTTTGTTTTTAGATGGCACAAAAAATATACTCAGTCAATATAGCTGACTAGTTTTCTAACCTTCCCTCTGCTGTACCACTTGGACAAATTCTTTGGATTTATGTCTGTGTCTCCTAGAGTCCCACAACCTCCTCACTTTCATCCCATCCAGTGGTGTTTTCTGTGGGTGTAGCTACTACTGAGGGAGCAGGAAAGAGCAGCCAGGAGTGGCAGGAACTTCTTGAAATGGCTTTGCCGAAAAGCCCCGTTGCATGGTAGCACCTCCTGAATGGCTCTTTAGCCTGTGGTGGGGCAGTGCAGAAACCTCAGCGACACGTGTGACGTAAGGAATGCTGCGTCCTGGTCCCTCAGCCCTTCAGCTGTGCTGAAGGATTTATGGTATGAACCAAGCCAGGGAACTGGCTGAACCCAGAATAAGTGAATAAAGCCACAGCATAACTCCAGTGTGTTGACACAACTAGGAATTGCTTCAGCCAGTTTTGCTGCTGAAGCTCCTGTATCATCAAGATGCAGTTTAATAGTTTCAGACTTCCTTCAAAGCAGCCGGTGAGTGAGTCTTCCTCCTACCAGTGTGTACCCCTTTGGTGCTACGTGCCCCC